ACACAATATGTGTGTATATGTATGTGTGTATACTTATTTATTTATGTATGTATATAGATTCTAGTGATATGTAGTAGTATCTCATTCTGGTTCTAATTTCCTCTTTCTTAATGATAGGCCTTTTTAAAGATACAGTTGATAATGAATTTGTCAGTTGATTTTCTTGCATATTTTAAAATGAATGTAGTTTTTCATCCTTTGTGTCATTAATGTTGTATATAACATGAATTGATTTCCTGGCATAAAACCAGCTTCGTATTCATGTAATTAATACCACCACTTCATTGTGAGGCATAATTATTTTTATGTATTATTGATATTTTGTTAAAGATGCTTGTGTCCATATTAAGACCTGTTTTTAGTATAGCTGAAAACTTGTCAGTTTTATATCTTTTCAAAGAACTGAGTTTAGTTAAAGGTGCAGTTCAAGTGGTAGAGGGCCCTGCATTCAAATCCCAGTATTATCAAAAATGAAAGAACCAACATAGTGTTGCAGTAATTTGAAATAAAAATTTCTGTAGTCTGTTAACCTGTGTTACAATCTTTACTATTTTCTTTCTTCAGCTTGCTGTAAGCTATTTACTCTTTTCCTTTTTTTTTTTTTTCTGGTCAGTTGTGGGACCTGAACTCTGGGCCTAGGAGCTGTCCCTCAGCTATTTATTTATTTATTTTTGTCAGTTGTGGGGCTTGAACTCAGCCTGAGCACTGTCCCTCAGCTCTTCAGCTCAAGCTGAGTGCTCTACCACTTGAGCTACAGTGCCACTTCCGGTTTTTCTGGTGGTTTATTGGAGATAGGAGTCTCACAGTTTTTCCTGTCTGGGCTGGCTTTGAACCACGATCCTCAGATCTCAGCCTCCTGAGTAGCTAGGATTATAGGTGTGAGCCACCAGCGCCTGGCTCCCTCAGCTCTTTAACTCAAGGCTAGTGCTCTACCACTTGAGCCACAACACCATTTCTGGCTTTTTCTGCCTATGTGGTGCTGAGGAATCAAACCCAGGGCCTCAGCATGTAAGGCAAGCACTCTATCACTGAGTCATCTTCCCAGCCCTCTTTTCCTAATTTTTTTTCTTTTTGGTCAGTCATGGGGCTTGAACTCTGGGCCTGGGTGCTGTCCCTGAGCTCTTTAGATTAAGGCTAGTACTCTACCACTTGAGCCACAGTGCCACTTCCTGTTTTCTGAGTGGTTTATTGGAGATAAGAGTCTCACTGACTTTCCTGCCCAAGCTGGCTTTGAACCATGATTCTCAGATCTTAGCCTCCTGAGTAGCTAGGATTATAGGCATGAGATACCGGCAACCGGCTCTTTTCCTAATTTTTTACATGTTATTATTAAACATTACTGAGACTATCTCTACTTTCTGATATAGATTTAAAAATTAGAAATTTCTAGCCATTATTTTAGGCAAAATCCTTAAATTTGATTTGTTATATTATTTTTATTCTGTTTCAAATGTTTCATTTCCTATTTGATTTCTTGTGGGTTATTTAGAAGTATGTTATTTAGTCTTAAGTATTTGGGAATTTCCTTGAGTTCTGTTGTTGATTTATATTTCATTCAGATGTGATTTGAGAACATGCTTTGTATGATTCTTTTTTTTTTTTTTTGTATGATTCTTAGAAGAGAGATTTGTTTTATAACCTGGCACATATCCTTGGGAATGGCCCATATGCATATGGAACAGATGTATATTTTACAGTTAGTCTTTTTAAGTTGAATTGTTTGATGGTGTTGATCCTTGATGATTTTCTGTCTAGTTTTTAGTTTTTATCAGTTATTAAATGAATATAGATAACTTTAACCATTATTTTTAAGTGATCTTTACTTTTGTCAATTTATTCATGAATTTTGGGTTCTGTTGTATGTGTATGTGTATTTATCATTGTTATACCTTCCTTATGTACTTCTTTATCATTGTGAAATGCATGTTTGTGTCAGTATTGTGTAATATTAATATAGCTATTCATATTCTCTTATAGTTACTGACTGAATGACATATTCTTGTTACATATTTTTGTTTATTTTTTGCTGGACTTGGGAGCTTAAACTCAGGAACTTGGCTTTATTCCTGAGCTTCTTTTGCTCAAGGCTAGTGCTCTACTACTTGAGCCACTGCACCACTTCTTTTTCAGATAAGAGTCACATCTTTTATCTGTGTGGTTTACTGGAGAAAAGAGTCTCATGAACTTTCCTTCCCTGGTTGGCTTTGAACTGTGATCCTCAGATCTCAGCTTCCTGTGTAGCTTGGATTACCAGTTGATCCACTATTGCCTGGCCATCTTTTTATTTTTATTGTACTTAAAATTTTGGTTCTAAATTATGTCTTTTAACAGTTGGATCTTTGTTGTTGTGCTGGTCCTAGGGCTTGAACTCAGGGCTTAGGCATTGACCATGAGATCTCTTCCCTGGCCCCCTTTCCTCCTCCCCCCTGCACCCCCCCCCAAGATTAGCCCCCAAGGCTAGCACTCTTATCACTTGAGCCACAGATCCATTTCTGCCCTTTTGGTGATTAATTGGAGATAAAAATCTCAACATTTTCCCTGCCTGGGCTGGCTTCAAACCTCCTCCTTCAAAGTTCAGCCCTGAGTAACTAGGATTGTAGGTGTGAGCTACTAGTAGATCTTGGATTTTTTGTTTGCTTGTTTGTTTTTAAACATTGTTACTCTATATTTTGGTTGAAGTGTTTAGACCATTGACATTTAGTATAATTCTTGATATTATTGGCTTTACTGTGCCATCTGGCTGTTCTGTTAAAGTTTTGCTACTGCTGTTCCTCTCATCCTTTTTTGGGTCTTTTTGTGTTAGCTAGGTATTTTCAGTGTTTTATTTTAATCCCTTTCAATATTTCAGCCATTTATTTTAGAAGTTGCTGGAAGGATTATAATATGCATTTGAATTTAGCAAAATTTATTTTAGATTGTTATTAATTCCAGTAAAATACTGAATCTTTTTTATGTTTTTGGTTGGTCATGGGGCTTGAACTCAGGGCCTGAACCCTGAGCTTTTTTGGTCAAGGCTAGTGCTCTCCTACTTTGAGACACAGTTCCAGTTTTCTGGTGGTTAATTGGAAGTAAGAGTCTCATGGACTTTGGTGCCCAGGCTCACTTTCAACTGCGATCCTCGGATCTCAGCCTCCTGAGTAGCTAGGATTACAAGTGTGAGCTACCAGCACCCAGCAAAATATCAAATCTTTATTCTAATGAAGTAAGCTTACTTCCTTTTTCTTCCTGTTTGCTATTACTCTCATGTATGCTCTATGTATCCACTAAAGTAATAATGGCTTTAATGTAATTTTGTCTTTTAAGATAATTAAAAGAGAAACATATCTGTAGAATATTTTTTGTGAACTGACATATGTACTATTTCAGGTGCTCTATTTTCCCCTGATTATTCAATGTCATTGTCTCTTAGCTAAAAAGTGATCTTTTAGTGCATTTAGTATTGAACTCATTCTTTGCTTATGTAGGACTATGCTTATTAGCCTTCATTCTGAGAAGAGAGCTTTGTTGGATACAGTAGTCTTCTCTTTTGCTTTAGTATTTTGTTCTTGTTTCTTGTGGCATCTCTGCTACAAATTGTACTGTTTTTTCTTTAAATAGTGTGATGTGTTATTATCTTGTTGCTGTCAGGATTTACCCTTTTATTTTATATTCAGCAGTTTGATATGGTGTATCTATGTATTTATCCTGCTTGAGATTTATTTATCCTGTTGAGCTCAAGAGGTTCAACAAATTTATGTGGAGATTTATAGTTTTCATCAAGTTTGGGAGGTTTCAGTTGTTTCTTTAGATCTTTCACTCTTTTGTCTCTTTGCTTTCCTTCTAGGATTCATAAGCAAAGTTGATACTCTTGTTCAACTCTCTATACATTTTTTCCTTTTATTTTTTTCACTTATTCTTCTTGATCTTTATCTCAGGTATATCTTTATCTCAGATAAAGCCCATCTTCAGTTTTGCTGGTTCTTTTATTTGTGAGTGCAAATCTGCTATTGTACCTCCCTCATTAACTTTTCATTCCATCATACTTTTCAAGTCAAAACCTTTATGCAGTTTCTTTAAAAATATCATATCTCTTTTTTGATATTTTCTCTTTGGTAGAACATTATGATTTTGCTTTTATTCAGTACACAAGGTTATCTTCAGTTCTTTGAACGTATTTATTTAGCTGACTGAAAGTTTTTGCATAATAAGTCAAACACCTGGGCTTTTGTAGGGATAATGTTTTGTGGGGGATTACCGTTCACTGCTTCTTCTTTTGTCTTATAATTATCTATTTTATTTATTTACTTATTTATTTATATGTACATACATACATACATACAGGTCTTGGGGTTCGAATTCAGGGCCGGCCTGGGCACTTCTGTTCCTAAGTGTTTTGTGCTCAAAGCTAATGTTCTGCCACTTGAGCCACAGCTTCACTTTTGGTCTTTTGGTGATTAATTGGAAATAATAGTCTCACAGACTGCCTGGGCTAGCTTTGAACTACTACCCTCAGATCTCAGCCTCCTAACTAACAAGGATTACAGGCATGTGATACCAGTGCCTGGTTTAATTTTTTGTTGTTAAAACATGATTATATAGCTTTCTTCCTTTTTATTATTATTGTGATGTATATTTATGATGATTTTATTTTGCTAGTCTGCTGGCTTTCATAACTTCAGTGGTTGAAGCTGCTGTTTTCCAAAACTATGATAGATTTGGGAAGGAGTGGGAATTAGGGTTAGAGGAAGTTATGCATTTAAAAAGCTCACCATTCTTGCCAAGATTAAAGTGTTTTTCTTGAATAAATGCTAACAGGATTGTTACAAGTCTTTGGTTAAGTTCTACATTTCTGGAAAGAATTGTTTTGACAGTTTTTTCATTGCTTTTTGGGGATGAGCATTTTCAGCAGTCCCTTTTCCACCAGTCCAAAACTGCATCTCATTGTAGCATGCTTTTAGCTATTATGCCTATTGTCTCCTTACTTGATATCTAACCAATGTTTTATATTAACTTGTTGGCAGCCATGAAAGTCCACTCTTTGATTTCATTGAGAGCTGCTTGCGAAATAAACATGAAATGGTGGTTTATGAAGCTGCTTCTGCTATCATCCATCTTCCTAACTGTACTGCCAGAGAGTTGGCACCTGCTGTCTCAGGTTAGTTTGACCAGGTGGCTGCCTTTGTTGATGTTTTTAAGTTTATATCTCAATAGATCTGCAGAATAGAATAATTTTTAGAGTTGTTTTTTTAAACCATAGTTCTATATTTATAGTTTTTGTAATCTGATAGTTTATGTGTAATTTTTTTGCATTGTTTTCTTTTATGAAGGATTTGTTTCCCTACATAAATCTTTTGAAATAATTATACTTAGAGGAAAAGTAATATTTAGTGTTTTTAGTTTTTTAATGTTCAGAGAGCCCATTTGCTCTCAACCATTAGTATTTCTATCATTCAAATATTAATGGATATATTAATATGCACAAAAGGAAACTTATTAAAGTTTTAAATAGTTGAATAAAAAGAGATTTTTCTATTTTTGATTCATTTTCATATGAGTTTTGATTCTGTGAAATGAATGATTTATTATGGCTCATATGTTCAGCTATGTGATAGATAATGAAATGAACAGTATTCATAGTGATCTTGTTGCTGTTTTAGTTCTTCAGCTTTTCTGCAGCTCTCCTAAGCCAGCTTTGAGATATGCCGCTGTAAGGACCTTAAACAAGGTAGGTGTCCTTTTGGTAACCACAAACTTATATCAGTGTTTGAGAACCTTAAATGTGATTTTTTTTGGCTTTTCTTCAAGCTTATCATGCATGATTTATGGACTTCTATTAAACCTCATTTTTATTTTTTGCCTTAGGTATGGCATTTTTACTATTACTCAGTAGAAACTTGTAATTCTGACTTGGAAGTACTTTGTGTTCAAGAGTTACCTTGTTGGGCCTGGGAAGGTGGCTCAGTGGTAGAGTGCTTGCCTTGCATGCCAGAGGCCCTGGGTTCAATTCCTCAGCACCACATAAGCAAAAAGAAAAAAGCTGGAAGTGGTGCTGTGGCTCAAGTGGTAGAGCGCTAGCTTTGAGCTGAAGAGCTGAGGGACAGCGCCCAGGCCCAGAGTTCAGGACCCACGACCGGACCCCCCCTCTCCCCCCCAAAAAAAAAGAATTACCCTGTTAATTAGCATGGTAGCCATTCACCACAAATGGCTCCTTAAATTTAAAAATTAAAATTAAATAACTTCATCCTTAGTCATTGTGATCATACTTCCTGTACACCTAAGCCACATGTGGTTAGTGGTTATCATTGGACAGTGCAGATATCTACTTGTTCTATCATTTATAATTGTATAGCCAGGTATCTCAGAATGCACATGTTTGTTAATTTGGTGTTATCTCTTTCATATTACTTCCACTGGTCCTGGGCAGCCTTTCACCTTAAAGATACACTGATATTTCTACACAAAACCTATGGCTACCCTTGCAAAGTAGGATAAGTAGACTTACTTTTTCATTAGTTTGCATTTAATGAGGATGCTTTACAAAGTTGTGGGTTATAGATTCTATAAATAACAGAGACGAGAAACAGGTTCTCCTAGTGACCATGATATTCCAGTGTGACTACAGCTGACTTGTTTAATTACAAGAGTTTTCTAAGTCTCTCTTGAGCAGTATGGTAGCTCTTGTTCTTAGAGGTGCTAACATCTAACAGAGCAGACACACATGGACATATGCCCTATAAGGAAGTATCGGCCATATATATATATATATATATATATATATATACATATACATATATACATATATATATGCCATATATAATAAAAGGCTAATATTATTATAAAGGTAATAAGAACCTAACAAGAGAGATCTGGGCTTGCTATATGGTGGCAGTTGTTCATTTATCAAAGGATATATTATATCTGATGAATCTTATTATGAATTAAAAACATTCTTCCTAAAACAATTACCTTCTTTTAAATTTTATCAATACTTTAGTGTTTGAGTCCTGTGTTTGCAAGGCTGGTACTCTATTTCTGAACCACATCTCCAACCTTTTTTGCACTGGCTAGTTTTAAGATTGGGTCTTACTTCCTACCCAGGCATGCACCTGGCCCATGATCCACCCACTTTCCCCCCATAAAGCTAGGATGATAGGCATGAGTCACTGCATCTAGCTATTGGTCAAGAAGAGTTCTCACACTTTTTTTCTTTTTTTGATCCTGGCTAGCCTTGAACTGCTATCCTCTATCTTAGCCTCCCAACTAGTTAGGAGGATTACAAATAAGAGTCTACCGTGCTCATTTGAAATAATTGCTTTTCACCTAAACTGCCCCCTTTGTTTTTTTTTGTTTTTTTTTTGTCGGTCGTGGGGCTTGAACTCTGGCCTGGCCACTGTCCTTCAGCTCAAGGCGAGCGCTCTACCACTTGAGCTACAGCGCCACTTCAGGTTTTCTGGTGGTTTATTGGAGATAGGAGTCTCACGGTCTCTCCTGCCCGGGCTGGCTTTGAACCGCGATCCTCAGATCTCAGCCTCCTGAGTAGCTATGATTACAGGCATGAGTCACCAGCGCCTGGCTAAAGAGATTGGATTTTTTTTTTGGCAGTCTTGGGGCTTGAACTCTGGGGCTGGGCACTGTCCCTGAGCAATTCAGCTCAAGGCTAGCACTCTACCATTTGAGCTACAGCGCCACTTGCAACTGCCCCCTTTGTATTGCCACTTTTCTTAATTAAAACTGGGTGTTTGCTTTTTTTTTTTCCTTGTCCTTTCACAAGGTGGCAATGAAGCATCCCTCTGCTGTTACTGCCTGCAACCTGGATTTAGAAAATTTAATCACAGACTCAAACAGAAGCATTGCTACCCTAGCCATTACTACTCTCCTTAAAACTGGAAGCGAGAGCAGTGTGGACAGGCTCATGAAGCAGATATCTTCTTTTGTATCTGAAATCTCAGATGAGTTTAAGGTGAGAGTTTAAAGATGGTCATGTTTTCTGCCCATGTGTGGTTTGTGTATGTGTTTTTTAACAGTGTCTTTTGAGGAATAGAGGTTTCGAATTTTTATGAGGTCTTAATTTATCAATTTTCTCTTTTCATAGTTATTGCTATATGCTCTCTAAGTAACTCTTGTAAACCTCCAAGTCATAAAGGTAGCTTTTATCTTTCTCATGTTTTATTCAAATTGCTTTATGATTTTAGTTTTTACATTTTGACTCAAGTTAATGTATGTGATATGTTCAGTGTTTTTCTATATGAATACTGGATACTTCAAGGATAATTTGTTGAAAATACTTTGTCTCCCCTTTCGTATGCTGTGGCATCTTTTTATGTATAGCAAATAACCAAATGATATTTCCTACTAATGTATAAAATATATTTATTTTTCCATATTAACTTGGTATCAAGTGACCTTGCTGAGTTCTTTTATTGGTATTAATTATTGTAATACACATTCCTTAGGTTTATCCATATAAATATTCATATCTTCTGTGAATGGAGACAGTTTTACTTTTTAAATGTCTTGCCTTTCTTTCCTCTTGCCTTATTATTGAATAGAACAGTATTGAATAGAACTGGTGAGGATGTAGTAGAAATGATCAAAGAACACTTAGTTTCAGTTAAGAAAAGGAAAATAGAAGGACTGTTCTTTGTTCTTACTTAATACTCAGCCATGTGACGGGATAGACCATATTACTCAGTGCTTAGTATACTCTTAGATGTGTGTGTGTGTGTGTGTGTGTGTGTGTGTGTGCGTGTGCACACGCGCGTCTGCACATGTGTGAGCTCGCTAGTCCTGGGACTTGAACTCTGGTTTTGTGCACTGTCCCTAAGCTTTTTGCTCAAGGGTAGTGCTTTACCACTGAGCCACAGCTCCAAGGTAAGTCTTATAGACTTTCTTGTCCTGGCTGGCTTTGAACCACAATTTTCAGATCTCAGCCTGCCAAGTAGCTAGGATTATAGGGCTGAGCCACTGATGTTCAGCCACTCATAGATTTTAGAAAACAAACTTACCTTGCACATGCAAATTAACATTTTGAATCTTTGGGAAACCTTGATGGGTTATGAAGTTGTTTTAATAGCCATTTGTCAAACAAAATGGTATAGTAAAGAAAGCAGGTAAAATAACTTAGGTAAAAGGAGGTTTTAGAACAACAACTGGCAAACCTTTCTTTAAAAAGGACTTTAAAATACTTACTTTCAGCTTCTGGGCCTCTCCATTATCTGTTACCTGTTCTTATTTTGTGTGTGTGTGGGGAGAAAGGTTGTTTGTTTGTCTGTGTAGTATGCATGGGGGTCTCATTCTTGCCCTACCACTGGAACACCTTTTTAATTATTATTTTTATTATTTTTTCTTTTTTCCCCCCAGGTACAATCTTCTATTTTGCTTGAGTACTTTGAGACTGTATGTGAGCCTCCTAATTATGCTTTTCTTGTAGCAGGGGTAACAGGTACTTACTACCATAACCAGCCTTTTTATTGAGATAGGGCCCTCACTAACCTTTTTGCTTAGGCTAGCCTCAAAATGTGATCTTATCATCTCTGCCTCCCAAGTAGATAGGATTATAAACATGAGCCATGATTCTAGACCTGTTTTTGTTATTTTCTTTACAACTCTTTAAAAAGTTAAAACCATCTATGGTTTATACCATCTCTGGTACAAAAGATAGAATGCAAGCTCAGCATAGAGTAGTTCATGCCTGTAATCCCAGCGCTCAGGAGTCTAAGGCAGGAGGATCATAAGTTTGAGGCCAGCCTAGCTACCAAGTTCCAGGACAGACTGGCTTCAAAGCAAGACCTAATCTTAGAGGAAAGAAAAGGTGGAGAGAAAAGAAGAAGGCAGACAAGACTGGACTATAGTTTATTAGCTTCAGTGTCAGAAAATTTAAAACTTTAGAAAAGTAACATACACAAAGAAATTGTTGGTAAGCATATGGGTAGTGGAATTCTTTATATATACGCCTGTGTAAACTTCTTTTGAAAACAATCCAAGAATATCTAGTAAAATTGAAGATGTATACTCTTTTTTCTTCTTTTTTTTTTTTGTGAGAGTTTTTCTGTGTAGCCTGGGCTAGCCTCAAACTCAAATTCTTCTGCCTCAGCCTCCTGAGGGCTGAGATTGGGTATGTGCTACCATGCCTCACTGATGATATATAATGTATAAAAAAAATTTACTTTGGGAGTCATAGGATCACTTCAGGCATGGAATTAACATACATTAATTTTTTGTAAATGTATTGAGTAATTTGCCGAGGTCTATACAATATGATAGCATTTGCATAAATACTTAAAAAAAACAAGCAAACTAAACTATATACATTAATTGGGGATATATTAGGTAAGTTGAAGAAAAGCCAGGAAATAGGGAAAGCTATTCAGGATAGTGATAATCTCTGGGAAGGAAGCAATGGAATGTGATCAGAAGGGGCAGAGGGGAACATTTGGAAATTCTAGATAATAAAACTTCTGTTTTAAAAATCTGTACTGTAAGTGATTATATATTATAAAAACAAAGTACACAAAGTACATTTGTTTTTTCTATTGTTAAATATGTAATTTATACTACATATGTTTGTAATATATATTTGCAATAGATTTGTGAAACATGTCATAAAAAATGAGTTGCAAAAATATATAAAGCCATTTCAGATTGTTAGGCCAGACTCTGTAATTGGCAATGTTTCTTCCTATATCACTAATTTGCCTGTACTTTTAACTTTTAAAAATAAGTCCTGTTATGTTGTAAGATGCTAAGTACTATTAAATGTCATCTGTGATCTTTTTTATATTTTTTAATTCTTGATTTCTATGTATATAGTATGCTACTGTATACAAAGAAATTGATCACAAACCAATATAAATACCATTATTTTCACTGGAGATGCTCTATTTAGACTCCTACTGTGTTTTCCAAAAGTATTTCCCCATTATTTAGTGCCTTCTAAAAGGAGCCTTTTAGGAAGGAAATAAGGAAATGGAATAGATACGGTTGGAAAACAAGCTTCAGAAATGATTCATTTAAAGGTTTGAGCTATGTAAAATTTCAAAACTTGTCAGTGTAAATCTAATAATCATATGTAGATACTAACTGCTCTGGCTCTTCGAGTTGTTGGCAAGAATCTCTATTATTCATATTTGCTCCTTTTTCTTTTTTGTCCACCGGGGAACTGGGGAAAATACAGCATTAAAAGATGACTGGTCTACCTAATGTCACATAATAAATTACCAACACAGCCAAGACCAAAAGCTAGATTTTCTAATTTCTCAGATTTTGTTATGTCTTCCATCTTACCTACTTGTCACCTAATATTTCAATATTTATATCCTTTCTTGTAGAAGGTTTATGTAAGACTTTGGTTCCTTGTTTTGTTTATTTCTTCTTAATTTTTTGTCTTTTCCAATATATTTGGATTTAGGTATTGATTGTATTAAGATAAAAAGTGAGTTGAAAACATGGAAGTTCTTTAACTGGGTATCTATATGGAAAATTAAGGTAAATTGTAACCCTTATCTCTGGAGATGAGTGGCAGCTTTTTGGTCTCACTAAAGAAAGAAATCAGTGGCAAATGCAGCATTTTAAAAAGCAAGTTTTATTGAAGTAAGAGCGAGAATATAGCTTCAGAGGAAATTGAGATTGGGCTACTGGACCAAGCAGTGGAGTGCTACAACCTCCTGGACCTTAGTTATTTTTTATCATCTGTGGGAGACTAGATATATTGAGTTTATGTACATATTTGTGGAGCTTTTCCAGGAACTGGAGTACAGGGAGTGGTTTGACCTAGTAAAGTATCCTCACAGCCAAGATGGTGACTGAAGGAAGGTTCGTGCATCATAGGTACAGTGAGAGGCACATAAGGCCTCTGGATAATTGGCACAGTGGGGAAAATACCTTCTGGTGACCATTAGATGGAATTTCTAGAAGTAGGTCACACTTCTCACAACGTTTGTTTGTGAAGCAGGTTGTTCAGCAAAGTATACCTAGATGTGGTGTCATGGTGGTTCTTTGGCTCCATTTGCTTTATTGTTCCCTTTCTGCCTACTCATCCAATCTCACCCTACCTCACACCACACATACAAATCCAGTGCCAAGTTGATTGAGATACGAGTGTACAAGCAAAATAATAATGTTTTAGAAGAGAATGCAGGATATCTTCATGACCCTGGAGTAAGAACAATATTTTTAACAGAAGACACAAAAGAAATTTTGATAAACTAGACCTTACTAAAAGCCATAAAAGAAATGCAAACCAAAACTACTTTGAGCTTGTACCTCACCCCAGTTAGAATGGATATTATCAACAAAACTAATAATAACAGCTGCTGGTAAGGATATGCCCCAGAAAAGAATGCTACTACACTGTTGGTGGGAATGTAAACTTCTTCAACCACTCTGGAAAGCAGTATAAACCTTACTAAAGAATTTCCATTTACTTTCTATTCCAACAATCCCTAGCTTTACCCCCACTCAGCATAAAATAGTAAGACAGAAGTTACCTCCCAACCCAGAGAAATGGAATGAAGAATTGACAGCTAGAATGTAATAATGTAGGCAGAAACAGTATTTATACTGTATGAAAGTATACAAAAATGTCTACATCCTAGCACCCAGGGGCTGATGCAAGAGGATTGTGAGTTTCAACCAGGCTGTGCTACATAGACCAGTCTCAAGGAACCAAAAAGGAAGGGAGAGTAATAGGGAGGGGGGGGGGCTGTCACTTAGAGAATGACCTCTAGAATGAAAACCCTTGGATTTAAATCTTGAGTCTATCACTTACTAGATTTGTGACCCAAGATAGTCATGTGACCTCTGGCTGTTTTGGTTTCTTTAGTCATACCTTGGCGATTGTGATAGTACTTACCTCAAAAGTCTTAATGAACTAATAAAGAACTTATTTCAATGTGAGTTATTTTTTTTATGTGTGTAGTATGTAAAACACTAAAAGTCTGGGCTGGGAAGGTGGCTCAGTGGTAGAGCGCTTGCCTTGCATGCTCAAGACCCTGGGTTCGATTCCTCAGCACCACATAAGCAAACAGAAAAAAGCCAGAAGTGGCGCTGTGGCTCAAGTGGTAGAGCGCTAGCCTTGAGCTGAAGAGCTGAGGGACAGTGCCCAGGCCCAGAGTTCAGGCCCCACGACTGGACCCAAAAAAAAAAAAAAAACTAAAAGTCTAACCTAATCTCTTGAAATCTGTAGGTTGAATATTAACTGAGCTGTTTGGAATTCTTTTTTTTCAGTGCATTATATAGATCTTTTACAGAAACAGATCCATATGTTGCTTTATTTTATTATTTTTCCATTTCCATTTTAATGATTTAAGTTTAAAATGTAGACCATTAAGCCAGGTGTCGGTGCCTTGTAATCCTAGCCACTCAGGAGGCTGAGATCTGAGGATTGCAGTTCAAAGCCAGCCGGGCAGGAAAGTCTATGAGACTCTTATCTCCAATAAACCACTAGAAAACCTGAAGTGGTGCTGTGGCTCAAGTGGTAAAGCACTCACTTTGAGCTAAAGAGCTGAGGGACAGTGCCCAAGCCCACAGTTCAAGCCCCATGACTGCCCCCCCCAAAAAACAACCAGAAACAAAAAACAAACAAAAAAAGAAAATGTAGACCATTTTAATGCCTTCAGTAGTCACAACTACTCACAACAGCATATCTCTTCTCCCCATGCTCCACCTGTGAAGATACGATATTTTCTTTGTGTGTGTGTATGTGTGTGTCTTAGCTTTAGTTATCGTTGCTTCTTAAAAAGATTATGGATTATGGACATTTTCTATCTTCTGAAAGTATTATATTGTACAAACTTAATGCTATCTGGTTTGAGGAAGACATTTCCCTATGGGTGTGTGCTTCTGTACATCATGCAAGTTAGGCACTAATTACCCTTTTTTCCTACTCTGCCCCTTGTGTAGTACAAGATGCCATACAGCCTTAGAAGATTCAATCTTCCTCTAGAGGTCATGTTTCCTTACTGCCCTAGAAAAACAGAATCCTCCCTCTGGTGTAGAACACACATATGCTTACTAGTTAGTTTGGTAATGTTTTCCTTTGGAACAAAGGGTTGGCAGGCTTACTGCCCAATATTAAATAGTCATGTGTCATTCCTTAGTGTTCTTTCTTATCCTGTAATGCAACCGTTTGTGGATCCAGATATTTTCTGGCTCTCTGGAATGGTCTTAGATTTGGGCTGAGGAAACTAGCCTCCAAATGCTGATTGCTGTTGTTGCTGTAATATACTGTCAGCCATTTCTTACCTAAGATTCTTGTTTTCTACTAGCACCCATGCAATTGTGATAGATTAACATATTAACTGAAAAGAGGATAAAATCTTATGCTTTTCTTAACACTTGTTTTTAAATTTATATTAACATTCCTCTAGCAAACATTTTTGTGAAGTAGTTTTTGGATAGGTTTTTTATTTCCTTTGTTGGAGTCAGTGTATTCAAGCTCTTTATCTGTCCAGCTTTAAGAATTTACATGTGCTTATTATCTTGGAGAGGGGCAAATGGATGGGATCTATTGAATAAATATAATTTTCCATTGTTTTTCAGTGGAAATCCTTTTTTTGGGGGGGGGCTCCTTGCTGATCTTTTATAAAGAAGCATTATTGTGATTTTAGGGAATTGTAGTGCCTTCTTGGCTTGGAGGAACTCACAGGGGAAGCACATCTCCTAGCTACGGTTCTGAAGATGTACTTCCTCTCTTTGTGTTTTACTAGGTGAGGGTCATACAGTCATTGTGTGGTAAATGATCTCTTCATTTTTCTGCAGGTGGTGGTTGTGCAGGCAATCAGTGCTCTCTGTCAGAAATACCCTCGTAAGCACAGTGTCATGATGACTTTTCTATCCAACATGCTTCGAGATGATGTAGGTAGACTGTTTTCTAACCATAATAAATTGCAGTCATAATTCTCATGATTGCCATGAAATAATCATAGTGTTTTGAGCATGTCTTCATCATTATGCGCTTGAATGTGGTTGCTGTTTTATCATTACTAAACTTGTTTGTTTTAACACTTTGCAGAAATTTGTTGTTTATTTTAAATGAAAAGAGAGGAATAGAAATTTGAATATCACAAGCATTATTTCAAACAGTGTCCTTAGAATAAGTGGTGGTTTTATCTTCTCATTTGCCAGGGAGGCTTTGAATATAAGCGAGCCATTGTGGACTGCATAATCAGCATTGTGGAGGAGAATCCTGAGAGTAAAGAAGCAGGTCTAGCCCACCTCTGTGAATTCATTGAGGACTGTGAACACACCGTTCTGGCTACTAAGATTCTACATTTGTTGGGCAAAGAGGGACCCAGAACACCTGTCCCTTCCAAATATATCCGCTTCATTTTCAATAGAGTTGTTCTGGAAAATGAGGCGGTCAGAGCCGGTAAGTCGTTGAACTAGTAATGATGAAATTGCTGGTCTTTTGAAATACTTAAGAAGGTGATAATGAACTTGAACAGTGAAGTTGCAAGACTGATATGTTAATGGGATTGAGCCTATCCTGGGCCCCAACCAGATTTTTGCCTTGTATTACAGACAGCTTGCAGTATAACAGGAATATTATCATGGCTGCTCCATTTTTTCCCCCAGAGTTACAGCCATAAGCATTCATGTATGTTGAATTTATATGGATGTGTTTGTGTTTTCTGTGTATTCCTCTCCAATCCTTCCTTCCCCTTAACATGAACAGGCGCGTATCTCTCCCATTGAAAATGTGACCCCCTCCTATAATTCTTTATCTCTCATTAACTCTCAACCCTATCTGACTGAGAAAAACTTAGCTGCTCTCATGAACTCTTGTCCAGTCATTTTACAATACAATTTAGTCCTCTCCCTTGAAACTCTTCTGAAGGTTTGTTTTTAAATACTTTTAAAATAGCTGAAGAAATTGTTAGATTCTTTAATATTCTTATGTTTGTTCACCTTGGTATTTGGTTTACCTCTGACCTCCCTCCTTCCCCCCCCCAACATAGATCCTATACCTGGTACAGTAATACATCACACTGTCTGATCTCAACACAGGGCATTTGTACTGGTCATTCTCTCTGCCTCTAAGGTTCTTTTCCTGTCTTTTCTCTTTGGCCAATGTAAGTTGGTCTTAACATTTAGTTCCAGTTAGTTGACCTTCTAGGTTACTTTTCTACTTGCAGTTCTGCTTTAAGTCTCCCTGTCTGTACTTACCTAGCATCTTGGATAGTTCTGTAAGCAACTTACTTGTTACTTTGTAATTATTTCTTTAATTACCTATCTTTCCTACTGCAGTGTAATTTCTTAGGATCAGAGACCCTACTTTTTAATTTTCCTACTCCCAGATCCTACCACAATTAGTGATAGACATTAAGAAAGCCAGTGAGTGTATTGAATGAAAGGAATATTAACAATGGAGTTTCTTTTTATGTTTGAGGCTAGTTGTTTGAGATTAGAACTAATCATATGAGATAATATATAAGGGGTTGTGTTGAGGAGAAGCATAAGTCACGTAGAAAATATTCACATAGAAAAATATTCCTCAGCACATAGATGATATTTACTATGTAGAGCTCTCTAGAGGTGGAAGAATTTTATTTATACTTAAATGGGTCAAAGAGGTAGCACCAAGGAAACAAGATACTTCATCTCCATTGAGCACCAGCTACTTGGCTAATTTATCGTCCTTATAGAGGTGATATACAGAGGGGTTACATTTATATGCATTAGTTAATAAGTAAATTTCCTTTCATACAGTGTCATCTGTTCCATCATTCTCTCACATTTCCTTCCTCCCTTCTTCACCCACCAGTTATATAGTTCACTGTCATCAATGTCCAGTGCCCTTCACTGCTGTACTTTTTCACCCTTTTTCCTCAGATTCTGTGCTCTCCCACCCTCCCACAGAAAGAATGCAGAATCATGAGCAAAAGAAAAAAATTAATAAAAAGTCCTTGTTTCCATATCTTTGGAGTCCATTTTAGTATGAATATTATTTTATATACATATGAAGAAGTGCTTGGTTATTCTATCTTTGTGATTCTCTCCTAAGACTATACCCTCTGTTAGTCTCACTGTATGTGAGTATCTAGAATCCTGTGTAATTTGTCATATCCCAGTGTATTTTGGATCTAACTTCCACATATCAGAGAGAACATGTATACTTGTCTAATTTTTTAAATAACTATTGCTTAACTGTGATACACTGATATTTATGTTGCTTCATTTTCTGTGATATAATAGCTGCTGTAAGTGCGTTGGCTAAATTTGGGGCACAGAATGAAAGTCTTCTCCCAAGCATTCTTGTACTCTTACAAAGGTAAGCAAAAGAATGCCCTTTAAAATTAGAATTCTACCTGACTAAGTAGTGAAATCCTCATTGTGTCATACCAGACGTTGAGCTGATAGAGTAGAATAATAGTAGCTATAGGGTAGATAGCTTTTGTTTTCTTTCTAGTAATTAGGTATGAGTGAGATATGTGTAAAATTGGAGTTTAGATTTTTCTTAAATGGTTTTGAGAAAGTAATCTAAATGTATGTACTTCAATTTCTATAAGGAGATGCTAACTTCTAAAATCTAAAGTGATTCATTCATATGAAGAGTTGAAAATATAAGCTTTTTATGGCCTCTGTAACTATTTAGTAAGGGAAACACTAGCTTTAGCAAACACTCTGATTGCATTTTAAAATTGAAGCAGATAAACCACAAGCCAAGGCTGGCTGGCTAAATGGAACAAATTGCCATTTGAACAATAATGATGCCTAGATGATGAATGCTGTCTTTTTAGTATTCTTATAAAGTATAATATTAATATGTCTTAATTATGAGGCGTCTTTTCACTGGAGATCATGTGGTTACAGATACAGCCAGACACTCCAGACTATTTCATGTTATTGTGTTCTTATTTATCTTGATGTTTTCTATAGCTTCTGATTTATAAAAGCAGTAGTGAGGGGCTGGGAAGATGGCTCAGTGGTAGAGCGCGTGCCTTGCATGCCTGAGGCCCTGGGTTTGATTCCTCAGCACTACATAAGCAAAAAGAAAAAAGCCGGAAGTGGTGCTGTGGCTCAAGTGGTAGAGCGCTAGCCTTGAGCTGAAGAGCTGAGGGACAGCACCCAGGCCCAGAGTTCAGGCCCTACAACCGGACCCAAAAAAAAAAAAAGCAGTAGTGGTTTAGTAATTCAGAACAGTTCCCCAATATTTGTGGGGATTTCCAGAGCCTATATTGGCTATTGCTGAGATTTTTTTTAATGCCGGTCTTGAACTCGGGGCCTGGGCACTGTCCCTGATCTTTTTTTTTTTTAATGTCGGTCATGGGATTTGAACTTTGGGCCTGGGTGCTGTCCCTCAGCTCTTCAGGTCAAGGCTAGCTCTCTACCACTTGATCCACAGCACCACTTCCGGCTTTTTCTGCTTATTTGGTGCTAAGGAATCAAATCCAGGGTCTCATGCATGCAAAGCAAGCACTCTACCACTGAGCCACCTTCCCAGCCCCTGTCTCTAATCTTTTATGCTCAAGTCTAGCATTCTACTACTTGAGCCACAGCTCTACTTCCAGCTTTTTGGTGGTCCATATGTTTCATGGACTTTCCTGCCTGGGCTGACTTCAAACCATGATCCTTAGAGTTCAGCCTTCTGAGTAGCTAGGATTACAGCTACCTTTTTATAAAGGTACTATCAATCCAGACACTGGTGGCTCACATCTGTAATCCTAGCTACACAGGAGGCTGAGACCTGAGGATCTTGGTTCAAAGCCAGTCCAGGCAGGAAAGTCTGTGAGACTCTTAATCTCCAATAAACCACCAAAAAACTGGAAATGGTGCTGTGGCTCAAGTGGTAGAGCACTATCCTTGAGCTGAAGAGCTGAGGGACAGCACCCAGGCCCAAAGTTCAAGCCCCACAACCAACCAAACAAACAAACAAATAAATAAATGTACTATCAGATTACCTGAATTGTGTACTATATGAATGGTAATAAAACTATTGGAATCTTAAGGGTACCGAAACATGCCTGTTCTGTTTCCGATGGCCAGGTGTATGATGGATACTGATGATGAAGTGCGGGACCGAGCTACCTTCTACCTGAATGTGCTGCAGCAGAGGCAGATGGCACTGAATGCTACCTATATCTTCAATGGTCAGTGAGAGCTAAGAACACATACAAATATAATTGTGTGCCCCAAATGGTATCTTGGAAGTATATTTTGTGATTTTACCTATTAGCTGACCACTAGGCAAATGCTTGGTTTGTCTGTGAATGTACCTCCATTTCTAAGGAAACCTGTTTTCACAAGGATATTTTCTAATTTGGTAACAGGAATTCCTGTATAACAATCTGCAAGGTTGTTCTCATTGCTCTCCTAGAGCTAAGGTGATTTCTTTTCTGAGAGGTAGATATATTTTGTTGTATTTATTTATGCTCTATTTATTTATGCTCTCCTTCTTATATAATCACTTTTATTTAAATTACTTAAGTTTTAGGATTGTAGAGTGATTATTTCTCTTCCTTCAGCAAGCAATTACTAATAGTTCTCAAGATGATATAATGCTGAAATTTGTCTGCAATTACAGGTCTGACAGTCTCTGTACCAGGGATGGAAAAGGCCTTACATCAGTATACATTAGAGCCTTCAGAAAAACCCTTTGACCTAAAATCAATTCCTCTTGCTATGGCTCCTGTCTTTGAGCAGAAAGCAGGTAAGAGGAACAATAAACTCTTAGTTTTTCTGTGTATAGATAGCTTTACAAATCTGATATTAGCATATGTTCTAAGCTAGAAATAAAACTAGAAAATATTAGCTTGACTTCACAATTATTTGGTAGTCCCAGTATAGTTCTATCAATGTTCACTGAAGGGAACATCAAAACGTTATTGATAAAAATAAAGACTTTCTTCAAGGAAAAAAGAAAGAAAATATTAGCTTGTTTTTTCTAATACTTTCTAGGAAATTTTTCTCTAATGCATTTTGCCTATCATGCCTAAATCTTTTAGGCATAAGATAGATGACTTTGTGTGTGTGTGTGTAGAAATACCATGCAGAGGGGGCTACAATTACATGGGCAAGATAATGAGGACATTTCTTAGCAAGCATTGTTGCCTCCTCCTTTGTTTCCCTTTCCCGTCCCTTCCCATCTCCCTCCCCCCCCCCAGCCAAAGTTGTAAAGTTCATTTTTCGACATAATGACTTGTATGTACATCTCATTGTTGCAATGGGTCCACTTGTATCCCTATTTAAATGATTTATTTTTGCCCTTCCCGTCCACACATTATACCAACATCAAATACAATGAAAACAGGACCATACCGTGGGGGAGGGACATACAAAGCAACAAAGAAATTAGATGAGTTTTTAAAAATTAGGTTTTTAAAAATCTTTTGGCATTTTGATAACAGTAAGAATATGAAATGTGTCTAAAGATGAAAGTTTTGCTTTTGGTTTGGTTTTTAATAATGTGGTATTAAAGCATTTGAGGTTTGTTGCCACTGTTTATAATTCTGTTACTAATTATTTTTATTTCTGAATTTGGTCATCTCTTTTGTTTTTCTGCTGGAGGTTTGTCTTGAAAGAATATTACACAGGATTATAAAAAATATTTCCAGAGTGTAAAAAATATTTCCAGAGCCGGGCGCCGGTGGCTCACGCCTGTAATCCTAGCTACTCAGGAGGCTGAGATCTGAGGATCGCAGTTCAAAGCCAGCCCGGGCAGGAAAGTCTATGAAACTCTTATCTCCAATAAACCACCGGAAAACCGGAAGTGGCGTTGTAGCTCAAGTGGTAGAGCACTTGCCTTGAACTGAAGAGCTGAGGGACAGCGCTCAGGCCCAGAGTTCAAGCCCCACGTCCAACTAAAAAAATAAAATAAAAATAAATAAATAGTTTCAAAGAATCATAAAACAGTAAAAAAAGAAGTAAAGAAAAAGAAAGGAAGAAAGTACTTAGTAGTTAGATCATAGAAGAACTGGGAATGAAAAATCTTACCTTTAGTTTTCAATATCTCAAAAGTTGTTTGGTGATACCACATAATGATGTTTGTTTTATAAATTATTTCTACTTTTATGAGTAACTTTTTATACACCCCAGTCTTAAAGCAATTTTTCTGTTTTTAGGACTTTATTATTTTACAGCGCTATGGTCACTAAATGTACTTTGAGTGCCACTCTGCTCCAAAAAGAGGTGACAGAAACTGTAGTGGTAGATTTTGGCAATAGCTCATTGGATAGCTGCTAGAAGGTTCAACCCCATTTCTTTCTGGCTGCATTGTTAGTTGTAGAGGGGAAGCTCACTTAATTTCTCATATCTCTCTTAATAGAAATTACCCTTGTGGCTCCTAAGCCAGAGAAGTTGGCTCCTTCCAGGCAAGATATTTTCCAAGGTATGATGCTTTATTGGATAGAAATAATGATCTTTAATTCCAGAGTGTTGTAGACAAAACAGAGTTTGTGGTTTTTGTTCAGTTTGATTAATTTTCAGTTTAAGAAATCTTTGTGTAGCTAAAGATCATAAGTTATAGTTGCTGGGGCTACCTGGAGTCCACGGAACTTAGCAATTTCTAATTACTAGCTTACTAACTGGGAATGTTCCTCTTATATATATCTTGTTGGTTAACAGGGAATTCTAAAAAATTAGGAAATCAAGTTTTTTTTTCCTTAGCAATTTAGCATATGAACTTGCTAGCTTAAAAGATTACTGACACTGGACACCTATGGTTCATACACATAACCCTAGCTACTCGGAAGACTTAGGACTGCTGTTTGAAGCCAGCCCAGGCAGAAAAGTTTGTGAGACTCTTATTTCCAATAAAATACTACTTAGAAAAAGCTGGAAGTGCTGCTGTGGCTCAAGTGGGAACATGCTAATCTTGAGCAAGAAGAGGTTCAGAGACAGCACTGCCAGGCCCCGAGTTTGAGCCCCAGGACTGCCTCCCCCCGAAAAAAAATTAAAACTTAAGGGCATGTTATATGAGGATTCTGCTATTAGTAAGGCTGTGGAGACTAATACAATTTAGTGAAGTTTCTCTTTTATCTTCTTCATGTCTTACTTTCTTCCTACTTTCCTCTCTTTTTTTCCTTGTTAGAACAACTGGCTGCCATTCCTGAGTTTATGAATCTTGGACCCTTGTTCAAGTCTTCTGAGCCTGTTCAACTTACAGAAGCAGAGACAGAATATTTTGTTCGATGTATTAAACATATGTTTACTGATCACATTGTATTCCAGGTGAGATAATACCTTTGATTCTTTTAGACCCTGAAGTATAAATTTATATGCTTGGAGACAAGCATCTCTTTCTTTAGCTAATGATTCTAGCTCCTTTTATAAAGAACTGATTGAGAGCTAGAGGTGTGGCAGAAGTGGTAGAGTGCTTGTGGAGCAAGCTTGAGGCCTCAAGTTCAAACCCTAGTACCACTACCACCACCACCACCACCACCACAGTAATAATAAACAATTTTAGTTTCTTTCCCATAACTGTAAAGATCCTTTCATATGATAGATAATATTCGATGGTTAAAATTTAAAAGTCAGGCACCAGTGGTTCATACTTGTAATTCCAGCTACTCAGCCTTCTGAGTATCTAAGCATACCTGTCATCCCAGATATGCAAGAAACATAAAAGAATTTTTTTGTATAAAAATTTTTTGTATAAAAGAATATGAAACAAATATGCAATGAAACTAGATAATGTAAAGTAAAACTTTTAAAAAAAGAAGCATTTAACAGCAATGTAAATTAAGTGGATTGTTCAAAGAACTTTAGCTATCGTACTTCTAACATCTTGTTTGGTAGAGTTCAAGACTCAACAAAGAGCAAACACTAATGAGTAATATAAATACAAAGAACTCAAGAATAAGACTATCCCTATCACTGTTACACACACAAAATCTTAGGTTGGAAGATTGGGGTTGGGAGTGTGGGTCAGTGGTTTAGTGTGCACTTAGCATGATTGGCTCTGGGTCTGATCCCAGAAAAAAGAAAAAAATCTTATGTTTATAGTGCTATTTAGAGAGAGATGGTATTGTGGGTTCCAGAATGGAATTATGGATTATGAGTAGGAAGGAATAGTTTCTCCAGAACATTCCTCATCCTTCACAACTTTTCTTTTGCTTACTTTTCAGTTTGACTGTACCAATACTCTCAATGACCAACTACTAGAGAAAGTGACAGTGCAGATGGAACCATCAGATTCCTATGAAGTCCTGTGTTGTATCCCAGCCCCCAGCCTGACTTACAATCAACCAGGAATATGTTACACTCTTGTTCGATTGCCTGAAGAGGATCCTACAGCAGGTACTGGTCTACAGAAGGCAAAAGAAATTTGTCATTAAAAATGCTCTGCTTTCGACTCTTAGAATGCTGGACAAATGATTAGAATTCAAGAAATAGTTCTGTTTGTTCAGAACTTAATGTAGCTGAGTGCTGGTGGCTCATGCCTGTAATCCTAGCTACTTAGGAGGCTGAAATCTGAGGATCACGGTTCAAAGCCAGCCTGGGCAGGAAAGTCTGTGAGACTTATCTCCAGTAAACCACTAGAAAACTGGAAGTGGCTCAAGTGGTAGAGTGGTAGGCTTGAGCTCAAGAGCTGAGGGACAGTGCCCAGGTCCAGAGTTCAAGCCCCACACCTAACCAAAAACCAAAAACAAACAACAACAACAAAACAGAATTTAATGTAGTAATGATTGGTGGTATGTGTGTGTATGTATGTATGCATGTGTTTATAAAATTGGTTGCTGATGCAGAAATAATTTTAAAATTAATTCTTAGTAATATTTGCTGGCAATTTAATCCTAAAAGAGAAACAATGTATATAGTAGTAGCCCAAAAAGGGACTTAACCACTAGGAAGAGTCCATACACCTGATGCCTCTTATGAAGAATCATGACCTACTCTGATGTTTCTTTCCAGGACATGCTGCAAAACTTCCTTATTTAGGAGATGACTGACATTTTAAAATACATTGTGCAGCATAAATCTGATTAGTATCTTTATTGTAGTATGTTTTACCTTAATTAGGACTTTTAGCCAACCATTTTGTATCCATGTTTGGGAAATGCTCTGGGTTTACTTAACCTAGATGGAGAGAGAGAGAGTGTGTGTGTGAGTGTGTGTGTGTGTGTGTGTGTGTGTGTGTGTGTGTGTATATCAGAGAAGAGTGGCTAAAAGAGAGCCAACTGCTAGTGCCAACCAAGTACTTATATACTTGGGGATTTGAGAGAGCCTTGTATTCTATCTCTTGTAAATATCAGGTATCTGTTCTTGATTTCTTTATCCCACTGAGTTCTCTTCCCATATTCAGTTTTCATAGAAATAAGCCAGTTTTCATAGAAATAAGCACACACATCACATTGATGTTTTGAACAATTTTTTACTGCTTGTAAGTACAGGAAAAACAGAGGTCAACAGTATTAACAAATAATTGGGGCAGTTACAGAGTTACGAGAAATCATAAAAGCATTAACTAGTAAGTAGATGTCACTGGTCATCATTCATTTACATCTGGGGCTTAACCCACTTTCTTTTAGAGCCCCTCTCTTAACTCCCTTCTTGTTATCAATTCCTGAGGGCCCCTGCTTAATCTTATTTGTGTTGGGTGCTAGGCCAGGCTACTCAGACTCTGGCACGAGGTAGATTCAAGTTGGCACCATTGCTGAGTCTGAATCCCAGGTTGTTACCTCTAGCCATGAGTGGAACTGCATTTCTGTCTACAGCCACCCTAGATCTATAACTCCCTGGGTGGGAAGGCACTTTCCTATCTGGCCTCTGATATTTCTTCTTTGAGCTTTAGATCATTGGTCTTAAACCTTTAATTACCTCCTTATCCCTTTGTGAGGTTTTTCTAGTTCCATTTCCTTGTAGCTTTACTTCTTTACAGTTAGATAGGTCTGAAGTGTGCCCACTAGCCTAAGTAAGCTGTTTGTACTTTTCAGTAAAGCTAGTTTTATTTACTTGTTCTGAACTAGTATGTAGGTCCAGCCTTGATGTAGCTCTGAGGCTTTTGCCATCATCCTGGGAAACTGTATTTTATTTTTCAATAGACATTTCTCCTAGCTTCAGAACTCCACTGTGGGCACCCGCCCCCCCAAACTCATCAAGTTCTTGTATTTTAAAGGATGCCATCACCTTACCACTTAATTATAGAAGGAAGTGAAATGTTGAACCCATTGAAAAATCCAGGCCTTCCCAATTGGAAATACTGACTTCTCTAATTTTCCAGGATCATTATGATAACTGATAACTCAGGTACCCCACACTTCAGGGAGTGGAATTAACAGAATTTAATAAGTACAATTTTATAATACCAAAAGACACAAAGCAACAATATTGAAATTACAGATTTACATATAAGAAAACAACAGAAAATATTTCCACCAACAGAGGAAGAATAGAAGAGGCTTTCTCACCCATCTTCACTAAGGAATATATTTGTTTCTTAAAACAAAGATCTTACAAATTATCCCAAAAGTTTCAACCTTTGGTCTGCTGGCTAGGGACTCTTGATTTATGTTTATAATTTTTGTTTCGCAATTAGAGAATTTTCTTTCTTTTTTGCTAAAGGGTTTCTATTCAGTGATAGAATGTGGTTACAAACTTTTGCGTCTTAGGGGGGAAAATGAAATCTTGTCTCAAAACTTGGGCTTTTAAAATTGCATTAGTAATTAATTATATTTGATCCATCATATACCTGTTTAAAAACAAGCTCCTTTCTATTCTCTAGGTTTTTTTTTTTTAAGTAGATGTCTCTAATTTTTAATTTATGGCCATACTAAAGTCTTTGCTGTGCAATAAAAGAAGTGAAATTTCAGGGCATAGATGGTAATAGAAGTCTTTTACCAAACATTGTTTTTTTTTTAATTTCCCATCACAAATAATCCAAATTTTACAATCTACTACAACACCTACTCTCTGTAACATGTTTCGTCTCAGAAAATGATTTTTTTCCTTAAGTAACGGGGGGGGGAATATAGAAATTCTTGGTTATGAATCCTTTCAACTTGAAAAGAACATAACATAATACAAAAGAATATAGGCTTTGTACACAGGTAAGGATAGAAAATTCTAGCCTTGTATATGTGCTGTGATCTTGAGTAAATTCTTTAACCTGTATAAGCCTGTCAGGATTGTTATAGGATGAAATGAAATAAGAAAGTACTTAGCATGGTTTTGGACACATAAATAACAGACACTATTTAATTCTGGAATTAACTGCTTTTTCCATTCATTCTCTTTAAAACCAAATATTCCACAGTTCAGAAGACCCATAGCATACGCTTTAGATTTTGCATCATCAATCATACTTTCTTTGATCAATCATTAACTTTCTCACTTCCCCCAATCTTTATAAATGCACAGAAATCTCCTCTACTGAAAAAATTTGCTTTAATTAAATTTGATAGTACTATTATAATACCTCCTCTCAAAGCTTGGGTAATTTCTTAGAAAAGTTATTAGCAGGTCTTCATTTAATTATTCCTACATATTATCTTTTATCCTCTAAGAATTATTCAGTTACCCACAAAGTTTTGGAAAATCTTTCAAGCAAAATTCTTCCTTAACATCCATTCTCATGTGGTAACTTCTCTTCCTTTTGAGTATTTCTCACATCAATAAAAATTTCATGAATTACTCTACACTTTGGAACTTTATAATGCCTGTACTTATTTACCTTTTTTATTCCACTGTCTATTCAGAATCAGTTAAAACTCTAGATTGACTTTATTGTTCTACTATCAGCCTTTATGGCATCATAATTTTCATCATCTAGAGCCACTTCAATAAATGGAAATAACTAATTTTAAAAAGGGTCTGCCAGAGAAAATATACTGAGATCTTCCATAGAAAACACCCATACTAACATCATCTCCAACAATCTAGGTATGGAGTTTCTTTTCTGTTTTTCATCAGGGATGCTGCCTTTTATATAATAGTTCATAATTCTTTTATAAACACTTCAACTTTGAATTTTCCTGCCTATATTTCTTTGAATAGTGTTTGCAAAGCAAACTTTTTTTTGGACTCAAAACTTTTCTTTGAATCTGTAGTATCCCATCCATTATTTTTTTGTTCAATATGTTTTTGTTCAATAACTCTTGGCATACTGTATAAAATCTACTACTTTCATGAAGTGATATTAACCTTGAAGTTTTATTACTTTGAGTAATTTCACTCACTGGTATCCATATTAATAACATCTGATGAAACTTTGTATTTTCGGTAGTAAGCATTTACTTTGAAATTTTGCTCAAACACCATGAGCAGGATTGGCAGGACATCACTATTTAACCACCAATTCTCCTTAGTTTATTCAATTTAACAAAAAATTAAGTAATATAGTTACTAATTTAAGTCTGACCTTCAATTTAGTATGTGTACAGTTTGACCCATTATGAAATCTGCCAGTATTTACTTTCCTTATTTACCTTCTCATTCTGACTTCTCAGTCTGACTTGAAGTTTTTGTCATCTGTCAAGCCTCTTCTGTTCCTAGTTTCAGGAATATGATGACCCCAGCCTTCACTACTACCTTTACTTACATAATCCCATCTCTCCAGAAGGCAACATAAACATAGTATACCCACTTATATCTTCTTTTTTTATCTTAAGAAAGTAAAAAATAAACTTGCTTTATTAGTGCTGCCTAGGCCATTTACTCTGCCATACAGATAGATTCCTAGTTTGAGTTTCCTCTTTTCCATATCTCATTGCTCTCTTTTCCATCTGCTTAGTTTCCAATAGACTCAACTACTCTTTACTTATCAAGTACATTCTTTGTGAAGATTAATGCTGAGGCTCTCTCTTGAGAATAACATTTAACAAATTTATCTTTATCTGAGTATTTACTCTCCTGATTTTGCCCATTTATCAAGTGATTACTGGCAACCACCAAATTCCCTACAGATAACTTCTTTATGCACATGCCTCCTATTTCCCCTTATGCCATACTTTGAATAAAGATTAAGTGGGCAAAGGTACTTACCTTATCCACACTAAATTTTATAAATATCAGTGCCAATAGCCCCAATTTCCTTCATATTGACCACTAATTTTGTGGAAAACCATGTTAAAGATCATTAAGTATATTGAACTCTTTGATGACTTTTCCTTTGAGACAGGAACTCTCTGTATGGCCTCCTTTGACCTTGAATTTAGGATTTTTCTGAATTCCCTTCCTGAGTGCTGAAATCCCAGGAATACATCACCATGCCTGGGTCATATTTGTAAATTTTATAGTTACCATGTGGATTTCTAATTCTTGACCTCTAATAGTTTCTTCCACCATCTTTAATAACCCAT